TTCTTTACTCCCCTCCCACCATTCCAGTCCATCACATCGCCATTGATGGGTACACAACCTTGCTATGGTCCTGTAACTATTGTTGAGAAGAAAAAAATAGTTAATTCCAGATATATGCTTTATATGGGATGTGAATTTTCATTCATCATCACCTTCCTGAGATTTTCTTTTGTCTAATATCTACTTTTTCATTGTTTATGAAAATAGCCTAATGACAGACACGTTTTAGATAAGAACTAAAATTAAAATCATGGGACATGAATTCTAGAGATTTTAGTGCTATCAGATCTGGGCTGCAAAAATCTGGGTAGTCTCTAGGTTAGAATACTCTGTGTCACTTTGCTGCCATTAGTGGTTGTCTAGATTTTTGTTGCCCAGCTCTAGTAACCCTGAAAGATTTGGATTCACAAGACAGAACTGCATGATATTGTCAGAATAATTGCATGGAGACAGAAGTCCTACATGGATAGACTTGGTGGAAACATATGCTCTTTGGAATGTTCTCCTCCTGATATATAGGAGGTATCTACTGTTAATTTAAGCATCTAGTGAAGACCCACCTTTCTACCTAGATCTTCCCTGTTTGAACGTTAAGAGACTTAATTTTGTATTTTTTCCCTTTGCTATATTTTTGAGTGCATATGTTTTATATTGTTTTAGCATGTTACTGTTGTTTATAATTTGACTGTAAATTGTTTTGTACAAAAGCTACTCCTTGCCGCCATCTAGTGGTCTTCTGGAACTTTACAGCTCTGATAAGGTGACTTTCAGGAAGAAAACACAAATTGAAAGAGGAACGATTCAGAAAAATAGCAGAAAGATATTGGGAAATGTTGAATGGACATGGTTTGGGTTTCAAAGAAGGGAGGAGAGATACTACTGAGGAGGAGAAATGACTGAGAAAGTAGAGATCAAAAAGAGAAAGTAGGCAGAGAGATGGTGGCTGGTGGCTGGATCTGTTATGGGGGAGAATGTGGACCAGTTTATATAAAGGCCACAGGGAAGCAAAAGAAAAATAGGCACTGGGGATGGATTGCAGAAGCAAGAGCAGAAGGGCTTGAGTTTCTCTCTAGTAACTCCTATTGCATAAAGCTGAGTAGCTGTTGATTCCTGAGAATATTGTCAGAGATTCTTATTCTAAAGTGGGAAGGTTAAGTAATGGAATGTTGAAAAAGAGTGTACCTACCCCCAAGAAGGAAAAAAGGCAATGGGTACATAGTACCTGTATCACAGAGAAAGGAAAATAGGGAAGTTGATATAAAAATTGTAAGAAGAATTCACATATGTAAGATATTCTGCTGAATGTTTATAATTACTCTATAAAATATAACACAGTTCAGCAGAATCCCCATTATATGAATTTGCCCAAATGCTGTGTTTTTGTATATATCCCCTTTGAGACAATTTCATTTAAATTCTAACCTTGCTGATCCCTTTAAATGTTTTGGCAGTTATTTTATTGTTCTGAAAGGTATTGTAATATATTCAAAGCTGCTTGGTTTTAAAGCCTGGAACATCATAATAAACATAAAATAATAGATACTCCAAGGAGAGGTTTCATAAAATAAATCAACTGAATAGACATTTGTTGTCCTATCCTAACCTACCTTCTATATTTTCAATGCCATCTGTCAAAACCCTAGCTATACTTTGCATTATTAGAATGAATGTGCAAAATGTTTATGGTTGTTCTTGTAATACATGTTTGGATGAATGCAATAGGACTACAACCTTTTACAGAATAGATTTAATTAGGATTCTCCTAGTTTAAACATAACTGCACCATGGTAACTGTCAGATTAATTTAGTACCAGTTTGTGTTATCATTTGTCCTTTCCTATGTTACATAACAATTAATTTGCAAAAGAACAAAAGACAAGAGAATGAAATAAAAACTGATGGAAAAGAGTAGACTTCTTTATGTTGCAGAATTGTAGATAAGAAGGAAGTCATATAAGCAGTGGTGGCTGAGTACATAGAGCTCTGCAGTCGTCATTGTAAGTGCCAAGAGATTGTGGATTGATTTCTGTAATCCATTATTAAGGATAGGGACAGTGGATTTAATCTAAGATTCATTAAGTCAAGAATTGTGGATTATTCCCAATTATACTTTAACAGAAGCATCTGTTAGAGCACTGAAACATAGTTCTGTTTCTTTATCATTTCTTTTTTGGTCTGGGACAGGATCAGTAGGAGCTGATTTGGAAGGCTATGATGAGTAATATTTTCCCTTTATCACCTGCACTCTTTAGGCTTCTCTGATCAACTGGCTGCTCTGACAATACATGATACTACAAAAAGTTCAACAGTGGCAGCTGCCCATCCTCCTTTTTTCTGAATCCTTCCAATTCTGTGTACACACACACACACACACACACAAAATCTGGAGAACTTATAACACAATTAATATATGCAAAAGAAAAAGTAAGTTCTTAGATGTCATTTTAAGAAACAGGGAAATGGCAATTACCATGGTTGGCCATTTAGATTAACTAGCCCTTGTGCACAAACATTTTGTGTTCCCTCAGCTCTTTTTACAGAGCAATCCTGTACTATTGTGTCTACTCAAAAGTATTGCTGAGTTTAGTGGTGTTTACTCCAAAGTACATCGTTGTAGGATTGTTGCTTAATCTCTCCATTCAAGTGACTGGGAGTGGTGGAGAGCAAATCTGAGATGGAATTGTTCTTAGTTGACCTGCATGTAACCTACAGTATATATTTTTATGTTATCATTGCTAATTTTTACCATAGTTAATATTTTAGCTGGCATGTAAAATAATTGACTGGGAATATATATATATATTAAGTCACCTAAATCTGACAAATCTAATTTATCTGTTTTCCAGAAGAATGATTGTTAATCCATGGAAGATTTAGAGAATCATTAGAGTTGTTATAATAGTACAGTGTAAGATCTAAATCCTGTAAGAGTGTATTTCATTGGTAAAAGTGACATCTATTACTGAAAGGACAATTGCTTGTATTACCATTTTCCCCTCACAATCTTTTAGAACTAGTCTTTTTTGCCCATTTATTCATTTCATCTCTTATGTTTTGTGAAATGTATAATAATGATATAATGTAATAGAATATTAAAATGATACTATATGTATTATGATTTAAGGTGAGTAGATTTAAGGTGAGCTCCTATGTAATCCACATTAACTCCCATAGCTGGTGGCATTTTCTCCCTCTTTCTTGCCCCCAAATGCCATGATAGTTTTTTTCATGCTGCTGTCATATCAGTTCCCTAATTTTTTAATCATGCTTACATGATTAAAAGAGCACAGACAGTTTTTTGTTTACATAGCATTGTATCACTTTATTTTCATAACAGTCCTGTTAAATAAATTAATCTGAGAGATACTGAGTTGTCCAAAGCATTTTTTCAGTAGCCCTTCTAGAGCACATAGCTTCTACTGTTAACTTGTCCAAGTCTATCTTACTTCCTAATAAAATGAAACTTTTGCTTCCCTCACAATAGTTGCATTAATCTGGATCTGATTCACACAACGTGCTAAGCCATGATGTAATTTAGTTAGTTTTGGATTAATGTACTAAGTTAAGCATGGCTTTAAATAATGTGTTATGTCTTATGTGAACCCACCCAATAGTGAAGTAATAAACTATAGTTATACAAAATGCAGCTTAGGGTGGTATGTAAATCTACACTGCTGTAGTAATGGATTCCTACATTGGGAAGGGGCTTGGACTAGATGATCTTCAAGGTCCCTTCCAAGCCTTATATTCCATGATCCTTTTACTATTATTTCAAAGTTTGGAATACCATGGTTACTCAGTCATTGGTTGGGGCTTATATGATAATAGGCTAATAACATTTTCTGCCACTTTTTGCTCAAGCCTTTCTATCTTCTTTATTGCCTTTATTCCTTTTTTCCTTGATTCCAGTCCCCTCCCCCTGCTTCTGTGATGTCATAATATCTGAAGTCAGTGTTCTGAAGAAACGGGGATGTTAGTCCTCTTTGCTTTAGGTGCTTATTGCTTGCTTCCTTCACTCACATTTCATTAATTTGATTTTTAAATCAAATTCAGGTTTCAAACTGTTGAAGGTAATATCATTTACAGTGTTTCTAGAGTATTTGTATTGGCTTTCTATCACTGTCTTATGAACAGTTTGGAATCTTTTCAAACGTTTATCTGTACTATCTTTTCCTCTTCTCTGCCATTTCTTCAGACCATTTTCTTCCATTCAAAATTTGTTCCTATTTCCACAAACTCCCTTTTGTATAGTCTCCTTACCCCCATTCTTTACCTCGTGTGGTTTTCAATACAAATTATTTACATTGTCTTTGGACCTTCTTTATAAGCATAGTGTAGCAAGTTACTAATATTGAAATAATACTAATATATATTTTGAGAACCAATTTATCTTATTTTATAGGCATAATGTAGCAAGCTACCAGTATTTAAATAATACTAACAGGTTCATTTTGAGAACAAGAACCAACAACCATTTGGATAAGGGACTTTATAATGCCAATTCAGAAAATGAAGAAAAAAAAAAGATTGCAAAATGAAGAAAATATAACTGACTCTTCCTGCCTGGGACACATTTTTGCATACATCAAGCTCAAAATATGATTGGTTACTGAGATACTGGAAGATAATCCTGATTTCCAGTTTTTAGATCTAAAAATTCTTTGTAAAAAGAAAAGGAAATTTTGAAACTTTGATACCTGGGATCACTACTGAAAATTGGAGTGGTACTCAGATGTTTATTAGATGAAGCATATATTTCATTTGCTATTACTAAATTGAAATGTGTTCCAGTATACTAAAAAAAAAAAAAAAATGAAAAACTGGGAACAAGGTGTACTAGAAAAGATTTATGGTTCTAGCTATGAAGACTCTTACTTCTGTGGGATATTTTTTAAAATTGCTGACGCATTCAGATTTGTATGTATCATAACAATGGTAATTTAAGAACTATTCTTTTCTGATCTGCAGTTGATAGATAGTATGACACCATTGCGTCCCTATGAGCGCTTTGATACACTTCGCCAGTTTCTGGAACATGAGGGACATGTTTTACGTTTTTATGGTATTTGGGATGACACTGAAACAATGTTTGGGGACGTTCGAGAAGTGGCACTACATTATTTTTTGGCTGATGATACAATTGAAATAAAAGAAGTGATACCTATAAATTCTGGTCGGGATGCTGTACCTCTATTCCTCAACAGACAGAAACTACCAAAGGTAAATATATATGTGAAAAATATGATTATAAAATGATATTTGGCATGGTTGGAATGCATTTGAACATTTATTTCAGATCAGATCAAATGTGCATCTTGTTCAATACTCTGCCATTCAAATTGGTTGTTGGCTTGCCAGAGCTATCCAATTGACCGCAAGTGCTGTGGATGCATTCTGTTTTCCAGTTTCTAGCCCCGCAGCAAGGTCTTTCAAAGTTAGTGTCAGAAAATGAGGAGTAAAAGGTGAGACAGCCCTAGTTACAACCAGCATGGGTTAAGCCCTTCCTTTTATTTAACTTTATGTATTTAATTGTATATAGGAGGTTAGGATAGTTATATTTATATTTCAAATCTGGTCACCAACCATCTCACTAGGGAACAACTCTGGTGGTTTACAGTAAAAACAAGAATAAATAATTAAAATACAATAAAAATACAATAAAAACCATATTCATACATAAATGATATCTTCCAAGGTACTGCTGGTAGATAAGGATATTAACCTACAGGAGCCTCTTCAAGGTGCTAGCCATGCCCAGGGTTGGTTGCCCCTCTTTTCGCCCCATGCAAGTTGGCAGAGCCAGCTCTTCACCCCTTTCCGGAAGGTCGAGAGAGTAGGGGCCTGGGGGAGGGTATTCCATAGGGCAGGGGCAACGGCAAATATATCCAAATGTTCAGGCTGAAAGAGAATTCAGGCTGTCTTAAAATCTAAAAGGACATGGCATAGAAGAAAAAGGGTATAGGAGTGGAAAACAAGAGGCATGCAGAATACCTCCAGAAAGATAGGAAAAGACAGAGGACTTATTGTTAACTATTGCAAAATTTTGTTATTTTTTTTCAGCAAAATTAGAAATCTTTTTTGGAACAATTGTATCAGCATGTAACACTTTAGAGTTTAATTTCCTTATTTGTAGGTCAGTCCACATGGCTTCACCCCAAGACTGCCAGTAGCATTTTTGTGTTGCTATGCAGTGATCTGCAAAAGTCATTATCTCCTAGAACCAGCCAGCTCTCCCTCCAGCTGGCCGATGGGGGAGCACTAGAAACAACAGCTGGCTAACCCCCCCCCCCATTCTTTCCTTGCTGCATCTTCTTTTACAGTGAGGATAAAAAAATAAAACAAGC